ACAGTGAAGATTTCATTGGGGCAGGGTAAATAAGTGAAATGAAGGGCAAGGTGGTTAGAAATATGAGCTCACTTTGTCAGTGGACAATAGTGATACTATCTGCTGTGGCTGGATGAAGATAGAGAAAAAGAAGAGCTAAAAGCAGCATTCCTGGTAATCAGCCCGGGAAAGGGCAGATTAGTGTTGAATTGCATGCCCTTGCAGTGTGGGCTTGGTTTACTTTTGTCGTGATTATTTTTTTGCACGCTTTTCCTCTCTACAGATATCTTGCAAGGAAACTTTAAACCTGATTTCTACCTGAAATACATACAGAAGGATCTTAGATTAGCTATTGCACTGGGCGATTCTGTCAACCACCCAACTCCTATGGCAGCTGCTGCCAACGAGGTAAGAATTGTTCAGTGTTCAGATACGTTACTCAACATTTCTTCAATAGAGCCATTTGTCCCCAAGAGACAAAAATCTAAGAATTATATGATCTCTAAGACAAGGGAGCAGAGACTGAAGTATATTTTGATTAAGATACAATTGGATTTGTTTTGATTGTAAAAGCCCTTAGAATGTCACATCAGTAAACACAGATGGCCTCAGCAAGACCTGGTGTGTTCTGATCTGCGCTGCTCTAATTACTTGACATACTATGCATTCTCTAGTTTGCAATGGTCAGCAAAGTTATTTTTCTGCTGGGGAAAGGTGGTGCACAAGCACAGGCACTGATCCTTTTCTAATTTCTCTTCTCTAGGTCTATAAAAGAGCAAAAGCATTGGACCAATCGGACAACGACATGTCTGCAGTGTACAGGGCCTACATCCACTAGGCTGCACCGTTCTTACTGTTAATACTATGATTATTGATTAATATTATTATGATACTGGGTTTTAACTCTGGACCAGTCCATCTGTCTCTCCATTTCCTTTTATACACAGACTCTGAGATCTGCCACGGAGGCAGCTGCTGTGGTGAGCCTTCCCCTGGTGGCAGAAGTGGGGGAGGAGGGGGCTTGGATTGTTGCAGTCTAATTAGAAAAATCCATGCCATGCACTGACAGTCATGGAACAGACCAGCGGCGGCTTGTTCAGAAGCTCTGAGGCAATTCTGCCAGAAATCTGCTGCTTGGCTGCTTTTATTTTCCTCTTTGTATGCTTGTCAAAGACGCTGTTTCTAACAATCCCTTTTCTCCTTTGCTGTGAAATAATGCCTGTGTTGGACTCTCTGCATCAAGGGGACAGGTGACATACATCCCATCCACCTGTGAATATCACTAAAGTCCTTGGTCCCAAGTCAGGTGAGGAGCATTCCTGTTAATCGACCACTGTTAGAGAACAAAGGACCTCCCATGGAGGAGAATGGCAGTTCCAGAAGGTAATGGGGTTGCATGCGATGCTGTCTTGATTCTGTTTCTTTTTAAACTTCCACCTCCCCAGCACCTTGATGGAGGAGTTCCTCCTACTGTTAAGAACACATTGCATCCATGTCTTCCCCTGTATGGATAACTGTAGCTTAGGGAACACAAACATTACTGAAAATGAGAGAATGCCAGTGTGAACGAGCCTCCTAAAATGCTAATCAGAGCTGCCCATCCCACAAACAGTGTTAGAGATCAGCACATTTGCATAGAAAACTGCAAGAGAAACATACAGGCTAAAGCTGAGCCAGAGATATTTTTATTTAGGGAAGGAACAAACCTTAGGATTGCTCCTGGCCTTAGCTTATGTTACTTTCCTTCTTGGTGTTTTTTTGGTTTTTTCCCCCTTGTAATCAATAGTGACAAAGATGTTGTGGATTGTGGTAGTGTCACAAGCAGAGTGATGAGTCTGAAAAGGGCAAGAATGATCATAAAGCCAAGAGATTGAGAATCCTGAGCTCCTTTCCACACTTTCTGTCTGGCCTTTGCGTGGTCATGATATCTCTAAGCCTGTTTGCCCATCTTTAAAGGTGGGTGATGATTACCTACCTCACAGGGATAGTTTGTGTGCTGATGAGAGATCTTTATACATGTCAGGTTTTCCATACAAGTTTGTAGTGTTGCTACTCTAGGTACAACAGTGGCACAGCACGAGACTTTTCCCTGTACCTGTGACTCTGCTTGTGGCCAGATGCCAACTTCCAGAAATACTAGTAAATAAAATGGAAGGCTGAGCTTTAGCCTAGAAACATGTGACTTGAACTGCAAATGCCAAGGCTAGAGAGCAGAGATGCTGTCAGTGTTGATAGCAGAGCAACCCAGAGTCCAAAGGGTGCCTGTCTCTCCAAAAATGCATACAGTGTGGGTGGGTTTGTTTTTGTTCTGGTTTTTTTTTAAAAAAAATTGTTCTTAGTATTAGCCTTTTAGGAGGGTTCTTGCATTTTAGATTTAAGAGTTAGTAAAATGCCAGTAAGAAACTTTATTGGCCAAAATCACTTCTCAGTGTCATGATCTCCTCCCTTGGGTTGGGATTCTGAAAGCAAATAAAGCAAATTCAAATTAGACCATGTTCCTTTAAATCTGCAAGGTCTGCCCCTCCCACCATCTTATTTTTCTAGGAACTTAATGGCTGTGTAGGGAAATCTTCCTGTGGGTTAGGATTTCTTACCAATCCTGCTTTGGGCAGCATGTGCATATGGTTCAGGGGCACCTTATTAAGAGACAGAAAGTATCAGATACTCATTACGAATCATGACATCTAATGCTATAAATGTTACTTCATTGAATATTTCACCTCCTGTGATCACTATTATTTGTGGGCTAATATTGTGTTCTGCATTATGTCCTGTGGTGAACATCTAGTAGTAGATCTGTTAGGCATCACTTTGGCCATTTGTCAGTGGTACCTGTGAACAATACTAGTTATACATACATGTTTCTTTGGCAGAGCAACTGTCATCCTGCATGTAGATAATCATATTAAAGGCACATATAAGTACCCTGGATAACCAGCCATTAGCCTGCTTTGGACACGCACTTCCCCCATCCAGAACAGTTCAGCTGCTTGCATCAGAAGTCTTTGGTTAAACATGCCACGGTTAAGAAATCCTTACATGAATGTCCATTGAGGGGCATCTGGGAGAGATAAGATGACAGGTTTCAATAGTGTGAGAAGTGTTTTGGGAGGGAGAGGGAGGTGCTGTCTCAGGCCCAGTTGAGAGCGGAGCTGAGGCAGTGCTGCAGTGTCCCTGACCTGTCCCTGTGCAGGGCTGGTGGCTGGGGTGAAGGTGAATAGGGCTGAGCAAAGCTTATGGAGGATCTGCCCCTCTTCACTAGCTGTGTGGTGCTTCTGGATAGAGTGAGAATACAAAAGGAGCTCTCAAGTCCCTTGATGTGTATTTCATAGTGAATTCAAAGAACCATATTTGTGAGAGTGAGAACCGTTTCCTGGGCAACTCACTGCTGCAGGTTTTATTTTCCAGAAATACTATAGTTCTCTAAATGGAGATGGTTATTTATGTGGGAGTGGCAAGTGCAGACTAATTAAACACTGTAATTTATCCTGGGAAGGTCTGACTGCAGTGCTCTGGTGAGGTGGGGGTGTCTGGGGTGCTGCCTGGCTGGCTCTGCAGTCACAGATGTGCCGGGGAGCAGCAGGAGGAGACCCAGAGCTCTGAAGTGGGGGTGAAGTGAGGAGGAGGGATGGAAATGGTGAAAAACAGACTGTTTCAGATGCTGTTTGAGATTGACTCGTGTCAGTCTCACTTGGATTCTTGTATTTATGTCTGTTGCCTCTGAACATGGATCTTATCTGTTCCTAGGCCTGAGATTTTGGGGAAGGGAGGGAAGTTGTGGATTGAGAGATGCTCTAATAAAACTGGCTAGTCAATGTTGTCCTAATATTGTTGACAATTCTGTAAAGTTCCTTTTTATGAGGATTTCTGTTTTAGTAATTTGCTTTTTTTTGTCTCCCTCCTTTTTAAAGAGAAAATGTGACATTTGTGAAAAGCTTGTAAGAAAAGCAGTTTCTTTTCCTCAATGATAGATCTTATAGTTAATTAAGGTTGTGAAATTTTATTTTTTTGCCTTGTTTTTAATTAATGCTTGTCATTCAGAATAGGATGTGTGAAAATGTTTAAATGGCAAAACAAAGATTTTTTTTTTTGTGCAATTAACAAAGCTACTGGCAAAAAGAATAAAACCTTTCTTGGTAACACAATGTTCTTGTGGCAGTTTCTAAAGCCTGTCAAACTTGTATTGTGGCATTAAAGAAATATGTGCATTAAAAGTCAGAGTTGCTGAAAACCAGCAGCAGGGCTCTTGTCCCTGAGGCACTACAAATGATGAATTTGGATAAATTTCAGCCTCTGCGGGCGGAAGGTTGTGTGCACCTGGACAGAGAGAAGGATGAAGGCTTAGTTTTAAAGCAAAGGCTGCTGAGAGATGGAGGTCTAGGAACTTCCTGGTGACTTCTTGTGTTCTAAGCCTGGGCTCTGTCTGGAGTGTCCTTCCTTCTAGCGCTTGGGGATTTTCGAGCACAAACGCAGCACCGGGTCTTCCAAGGCAAGATCCCTTTACTGATGTGTTTGCAACCTCCAGAATGTTGTTTTTTGACGATCCTGGCAGCGTTTGCTATTGAATAGCAGTGATGTTCGTGTGCGGGGCCTGACGGGCTCGTACCGACTGATGCTGCGCTGGAAAGCGAGGCAGAAGGCGCTGGAGCAGAAGCTTCCCCCGCTCGGTGGCGAGTTCCCTGCAGCCCCGTCCCCCCCCGCGGGGGGCTGCGGGAGGTGCAGCTCTGCTCTCGCCCCCGCGGAACGCCCCCCGCCCTCTGCCGCGGCGGCGCTGCCCGCGGGGGTTTGTTTCGATTTCCAAATTTCGCTTCCGCGTGTGTGCCTGGCGGGGAGGGCTCCGGCCGCTCGCCTTTAGCTGAACGGGTGCGTGGTGACGCCCGCGCTGTCCCGCCGCCAGCTCCCGCCCGCCGAACGTCACGTTCCAGGCGCCGCCCGCGCCACGCCCGGTTGCGCTGGCCCGTGAGACGCTGCCTCCGCCGCGTTGCCGGGCGGAGGTCGGGGCCGCTAGCCAATCGGGGCGGCGGCAGGCGCCGGGGTGGGGCGGGGCCGGTGGCGGGATGGCGGCGGCGATGACGAGCGCGGCGGAGCGGGCGGTGCTGGTGAGTCGGATGGCGGGCCCGGGGCTCGGCGGTGCTGGCTCTGCTGGGACCTCCACAGGCCCGTTCTGGGCGGGCGCGGCCCGCAGCCCTATCCCTGGCTGGCCCAGGCCTAGGCTGAGGCGCTCTGAGGGCCGGCCGCTCCTCCCCGCGGCGCTGCCGAGGTGACCGGCCGTGCGGCCCGCACAGGCCTTCGGGACGGCCCCGGGCTCGGCTGCCGGGCTGTCCTCGAGCCCACCGCCACCGGCAGCCGTGGGCTGCTTTAACGACCTGCGCGGTGGTGTCTCCCCGCAGCCCTGCGAGGGCGGGTCGCGGTTGCTGCCCCGGGGCCGGGCCGGTGCCGGAGGCAGCCCTGCGTGCGGTAAACAACGCGGTATGACCGACCTTGGAGTTTTTCATGGTCAGTCCAACGTGCTGCTGGGTGGAACAGCTAGCCGGCAGAGGGTGGGCAGACACATCAAAGAAACCTTGTTGACTTGACAGAGGTAGGAAAGACAGGGGCCGGCTGACACTGCAGACACCTCCGGGGGCCTGAGCTGCAAGGAGCAGTGAAAGCCTAGGGAGAGAATCGGAGAGATGCATCTGGGCTAGGCAGAAAGCTGCATGTGAAAACCATTTTTTTTCTAAAATTGATGTGATTTGCAATCGCGTGACTAGCATTCCTCAAAAATACAGACGTGTAGCATACAGACACAGCAAATGAACTTGACCTAGTCTGAAATTGCTAGTCATCATTGCTGTCACTAGTGGGACGAAAGACACTGATGATGATCAGCAGCCTGATCTAGTGGAAGATGTCCCTGCTTATTTCGGGGGATTTGCACTACAGGACCTTTAAAGTTTCCTTCCATCCCAAACCATCCTGTGATTCCATAATTCTAGGGTTTGAAGTGGAAGCATGTGTATGGCGACAGTGGGGTGGTGGAGACACTGGAGGCAGATGCTTTACCTATGTGATTTCTGTTCCTTTGGGAACCTGGAGGAGAGCGAGTGTTACGGAGAATGAAAGAGCAAGGCGTTCAATATGATCCTCAGAAACCTAAAATGGGATTAAACAGTGAAAGTCAGTGGTCCTGTACTGGTTTGAAGGATAACAGAGACTCCTACCCAGGTTTTTTGTGAGTACTTGCTTTAGGTGAATCTTTGTTGAAACAGAAGTGTCCTCATTCTGCTCCTTGTTCAGGTAACTCTTGCATAAGAGGACAACACATCAGTGAGCTGCTGGGTTTCTCATGGTGAACAGGAACTGTCTAGTGGAGAACTCACAGGCTTAAATTTCTGAGTTCACCACACCTTTCCAGTTTTCCTGTGGGCAATCTGCTCAATTCATTCCCTTCCAGTACTTTCCATGTGGAAAATATATCCTGTTTTACAAGGTAGCAAGTGTCAATCTCTTCTTTGTCCCTTGCTTGCTGTCTCCTCTCCTCTGATGATCTTCAGCGTGGGGTCTTGTGGTTTAACAGAAATACTTAGCTGTGGCTTGAGGATCTGCTTTACACAGGCTTCTCTGTAGCAGGCAGCTAGTTGAGGCCTGAGGCAGGGTGTCGTCGCATTTGAACTTGTTACTGAATTTCCCAAATGGTTGGGACTCCTCAGCCTTTCTCCCCCCCAGCTTTTTCAATTTAGCTGCTTTATTTTTCAGCTGCTGTTGTGTGGTAAAATGCCACTTGGGGGCGGGGGGGAGGGTAGGAGCCTTTTAGTTTTTGTCTTTGCTTCTCGCCATCGAATTGGCTACAAATTTGCCCACAAGTGTAGTCTGTTTTGCCTGTGATGGTAGTTGGTAAGGGGTCTGCCTGTCTTTATCTCAACTCAGCTTTTCATCTTATTTCCTCCCTGTCTTGTTGAGGATGGGGGGTGAGAGAGGCTGGGTGGGTGTCTGGCAGCTGGCCTGCCAAGGCCAGCCCACTCCAGCAGCTTAAAAAGATGTCCCAGATTTTGAAGCAGCCAGATCCATACTTTGCTCTGAAATTCACATCCCGTGCTAGCTGTTCTTTCCTAATTCTGTGATTATTGGTACAGTGATTTGTAGGAATGCTACTTTGTTAAATGAAGACAAACCAAGAATGAGGACCATTCACTTGCCTGGGGCAGAGAAGTGGAGAGGAAGGCCTTTCAACAAATCAGGAAGAAATCTTTTTATTTTCCTACCAGAATGTGATTTAAACAGCATGTTCATAACAGAATACTTCGAACTTAAATAATTTCCATATGTGGCTTAGAGATTTGTTTCCACTGTTTGACTTCTATTGATTCCACTGCTATCTTTCCACAATGTAGGAAGAAGAATTTAAATGGCTTTTACAAGAAGAGGTCCATGCTGTTTTGAAACAGCTGCAAGACATCTTGAAGGTAAGGTTTATTTGCTTCATCTGTTCTTTGTATTGTGGGTTTGTTTGCTCTCCTACGTGAGGAATGGTGGCAGATTTTCCCTGGAGGAAAAAAATTGTGGTAAAATTTGTGGTCCATCACGCATATCCAGTACTGTCCCAAGTGTTTGCTTGCCCTTTGGTCTCGAGGACACACAATAAAGCTGATTTCCCCTAGATTGCTCTGTACTTAACCCTCCTTCCTGAGAGAGCTGCTTTGAAAAGGCACATGGAGGCAGCCAGACCCGTCTGCCAGGCATTTGCCTGAGACATGAATATTTTCTGGAACAGAGAATCCGGATCTGCCTGTAACTTTGTCGTGTGATGGTGGAAATGAGCACAGTGGCCTTTAGCTGACAAGCTACTACTTGTGCAGTAATTACTAGCATGCACTCTCCTCACTCGAAACCATCCTTCCCTCGACACACCCACTTCTCTGCCAGCACCTTTCAGGGGTATGAAGTGTTCAGCTGAGTCGGCCCTGAACTAGCCAAAGGAGATGGTGTGCACAAGAGGTCACCGCTCTCCCTGTGACCTCCCTGTGAGGTTTCAGTCGGGGTCGGTGGGTGGTGCAAGAGTATGGGCGAAAATGTGGAGGTGAGGGCTGGGTGCCCAAGGTGGTAGGAGTGCCATGGTGCTGACCCAGGACGTGACTCAGTAGCAGGTGACAATAACCTGCTATATCTATATATATAGTATCTGTTTTGAAGAATTTGTCGTAATTTTAAGAGTGAAGTGTGATTAAAGGACAAGTGCCAGCCAGTATAACCAGTCAGGAGGACAGGTTTTCACTCCAGACTTCCCACATGGGTGAGGGACCAGCAGTGCTTGCGCTGCACAGGCCAATGCAGCAAGCATGCTGTGTGGAGTGCCGCTCCTGCTGCAGGTGGATTCGCCACCCCACTGGGCATTGGCTGCCTCCCCTGGCTCCCAGGCACAAAGCCAGAGTGTGGGATTTCTGATGTCTTTCTTCATGAGCTGCACACAACACAGCCTTCTGCGCTGTGCCTGTCCTGCAGGAGGGTGAGGGAACATCTCTGTGCTTTACTAGGTGGTTTGCAGGAGGCTTGCAAAGCTGACTGCTCTGTATTTGCCCACTTGCCCGTGTCTGCATTTCTTCATTTTGCCTTGTCTTTGTTGCTGGCTTGTGGTGCGCTGTGCCCGGGTGGATGCTCCAGCACTCACTATGTCCTCTCTTGGGCAGGAGGCCTCTCACCGGTTTGCCCTGCCTGCCAGTGGCTCAGGAGGAGCTGTCAAGCAGGAGAACTTTGTGCTGAGCACCTTGGGGTAAGTGGTGATGGTTGGTAGATTGCTGCTGCTCTGCCAGACTGTGCTTGGGGGCTGTACCCGGGCTCCTGGCAGTGCCAGTGTTTGTGCTGGGAGCTTCCCTCTGCCGCAAAGGCCGGTGTTCCCTGAGCATCTATCTGCAGCAAAGGTCTCTACAGCACCCTCAAAGTGAAGGGGCTTTCTTTGATATGAGATTTCGCCTTAAGGAAAACAAACGAACAAACTCATGGCGGGTTAACATAACAGTCTGTAGCTGTGTTCCAGCGGGCTGCCTTAGCCAGACGTCTGCTGTTTCCTACTAGCACCTATACTGTAGTCACTGATTCCTATTGGTGGGTTGTATCAGTGTGCTGCTGTCAGCAGTTTTGCCAAGGGGCATTTTTCTGATTCGGGGTGCAGGGAGTTGCAGTTACAAGACCTGAATTCTGCTCCTAGCTCAATTTCTGACTCTGACCATGGACAAATCATTTGTCCTGATCTCCCTAAAATAGCAATAATAAATCTACTTCACGCAGAGCAAGCTGCGTAACAGCAGCCAAATTGTTGACATAAGCATGGGATCAGAAATGAACATGATGTTTTAGACAGGGCAGTTAGGGTGAGGTGACTCATAAAGAATATGACAGCAGCTGGCTGCAGGCAAGAGCCAGGGACTTGAAAGTGTGTGTAGAGTTCATCTGCATCCCCCAACTGAGCCCGGGAAAGAGGGGGACTTGGCTAGCTGTATGGAACAGGGAAGGGCAGTATTGGGTTGGCAGTTTCAGTAGGTGTCTCTTGCCTCCTGTGACTTGTGTTTCCCAGATCTATCTTCTCATTCCAGCACAGACCAGGTGAAAGGTGTGTTGACGCTGCAGGGAGATGCCCTGTGTCAAGCTGTGAGTACTTGCTGTGCTTTGTACTAATATCAAGGGGTGGGAGTCATACTTATTGCACTTTGATGACTTCAAGGGGGAGGCCATCCTAATTATGCTTTTCCAGCGGTCCATTAGTATTCTGTGTCAGTCTTCCCTAATGGGCCTTAAATCCTTAATGTTTCAGCAACTGTTGAAATTTTTCAACTCTGTGGTGAGTGGTGGAGTCAGCTTCCATAGGAATTCCTAGAGTACAGGCCCCATCCCTGGAGATATTCAAGGTGAGGCTTGACGAGGCCCTGGGCAACCTGGTCTGGTTGGGGGTGTCCCTGCTGACTGTGGGGAGGTCAGACTAGATGACCTTTGGAGGTCCCTTCCAGCCTGGACAATTCTATGATTCCTTGCCTTTATCGCCGTTGTTGTGTAATATCAGGTTTCCTAGGGGGCCTTCTGAGATGAGGTCATGTGCGTCCTGCTGGGATCCCCATTCACTAAATGCCTTTCAGCTTATCCTTTGTATTAACATCTTCCTGTAGATGGACTGAAGTTCTGGCTGTGCCAAGACTGCTGAAAGCAGCTTGCCAAGATGGTCTGGGAGACAGAATGGAGTGGCACTGGCCATCTCTGTGTTCTGTATATGGGGACTGCTTGCTCTGCATGTGTTTGTTTCTTTCTTCAAGGATGTTAATCTGAAAATGCCCAGAAATAATCAGCTGCTACACTTTGCATTTCGGGAAGACAAGCAGTGGAAGTTGCAGCAGGTACTGTTAACTTTAGATGCATATCTGTCTGTAGTGTTTGCGCAAGCTACTCCAAGCAGTAGCTGTAACCCCTCGCTTTTTGAGAGAGAAGGTTATGTCTCTCCTACATTAGCTCCAGTGGTAAAAGATAAGGGAGGAAACAGATGTAATTAAATTTAGTTATGGTGCTAGGAGAGAGAGGTGGGTTCCGCTTGTTCCTGAAGCGCCAGCAAGCTGAAGGCTGCCTGCATAGAGCAGTCAGAATCTTCTAAAAGAAGTGCCTAATGTGCCTGTGGGGTACTGGCCTTGTGTCTGCTTGTAAAACGCAGGCTAGCAGGGCAAAGAGCAACTTTGGAGACTGAGTAGCTTGTGCTCATTCTCTTACAGAGAAGTTGTTTTTAATGCTGAGAACAAATCTCACTGCATTGTGCTCTTGTAGTATGGCTGAGTTCCCCTAGTTAAGGAGTTAAAGGGATGTGGCTGTCTAGAACACTGAATGTCTTTCCCACCATTTTGCTGGGAGGTACCTCATTTCAGGACCTAATCTAGGGCCCGATCTTGAAAACATAGTTTCCCACAGTTAGTTTGTGACAGCTGAGTAGGTTGGAGAAAGATGTATTCCATGTACTTCACTATGCCATGGCTTGGATTCTCCTAAGTGATCAGTGCATTTAGTCTTGGGTGCAGTTTCCAACAGCTGCTTTGGCAGTGGAGTAAAAGCTCTAACCAGTAATATTGTAGAAATCTAGAAAATTATGTTCTTGAGATGTTAATCCCAAAGCTGACCAAGTTAGTTTATGCCTCACAACAAGGCAAGGAAGTTTTCATGGTAACACTCAGCAGTGCATCCTGTTTTGTGGGTGTTTTGTACTTCGTTGATAGGCTTCTACCAGCTTTTGTGGAAAAGACCTTCCTTTATTTACTTGGAAGAGTTTTGTGTTCTAATATTGTTCAGATGTGGAATGTGAGTGCCTAAGGGATTCTGTGCAGAAACTTTTACAGTGATTACGTGGAGATATTTGTCCTGTCCAAATTAAAAATGAGCATCTTGAAATATTGTGAGATTCTTCCTTAGTGAGTGGTGCCAGCTTGGAGTTTTGTTTCTCTGTGCAAAGTCAAGTTATCAGTAAGAAATTGTAGTATAGGCACATTTTTGAGGAACACAAGTGCAGGCACATGAGTTTTGAGGAACTTGATTAGAAAATGGAGCAAAATCAAGGGGGAACAGGAATGAAGCAAATCCTTATAATAGCTGGATTGGCATTGCTGGGTTGGTAACGCTGCCAGGAACCACTTAGCTTGTTGAAAAGCATCTGGGAGATGTAAAGGCTGGAAGTGGTGATGTTTGGAGATGCTGTAGTCCAAGTACCTGCAGAGTCTCTCTGCAGTCTGACAGTGGACTTCATCATCTCTCTCTTCTTTCTGCAGTCTTCAGTGCCTGGTGCTTTCTAAGAGCAGGGCTATTGTGTGATCCCTGAGCTCCGATGAGAAGGAACCAGTGCCCAGATTTATGCCAGGGAGGCCTCTACAAGGCTGAGCTAGGATCTGGGGTTGCTGGGGAGCAGTGTAGTTGATCAAACTGCAAATACCCCAAGCTGTGTTACCCATCTTCCAGCAGTCACTTCTCATACAGGCTTCCCTGCTTACCTTTTCCATTTATTTCACCCTCTGGTTTACATTTTTGCTTTTTAAAAATTTTCCTGCTGCTGCTTGGAACTGAACACAAGTAACTTTCTCTCAGGGCCATTTTCTTCTTCCTCTGGTTTGTCCTTGTTCTTATGAAAGCATTGGGATACACCTATCAGCCTTGCTTTGATAATTATCTCCTGGCTAGAAGCTGTCTTGCTTGAGAGGGACTTGACCTAGCTGTGTCCTGAGTTTGGTCAAGTTCTGCACAAGCAGCATGATGGCAGCTTGATTGCTGGAGATAACACTCAACCCCAACAATTATAGCTTAGAAGAGCTCTGGAATACTGCCAGAGACACTGTATTAGAAATCAATGTTTGCTGGTCGTTGGTGCTATTGATGTCATTTGTGTCATTTGATTTAGCTCTATGTAGTTCCTAAGGAAGAAATCATTATTTGTGACTGCCATTTATCATCAATAGTGAGAATTCCTACCTGAACAGTCATCATCAGGGTCTTCCCAGGATGAGAGTGCCTGATGTCACTGTTCCTTCAGAGCAGCAGCAATATTTTTATTGACAATCCAGGTTGTAACTATCAGACTGCTTTGCATCTCCAGTCTTTAAGTGAAGAACCCAATAATGTGTCTGGGCAGCAGTGGTAGATTTGTATTAGTGAGTGTCTGGTACTCAGAGAGAAGTGGTCTCAACATTTGAGACATCCCCATTTTCTTAGGGCCAATGAGATAACCAGGAACCCTCTACTTACTAGTGCTTACTACAAAGAGTGTTTCTTTAATAGGACTGTGTTTGTACCTTTGCAGATCCAGGATGCTAGAAACCATGTTAACCAAGCCATTTATCTGCTTATGAACAGAGATGTAAACTACCAGTTCAAAACAGGCTCAGAGGTTCTCAAGGTGAGGAGAAAGCCTTCTCTACTTGGGTAGGAACATGGATTTTTCTTCCCTCCATTTGTTGTTTTAAAAATAGTTAATGCTCATTATTCTCTTGAGTCTCTTACTGGAAATGGATTCCCCATCTGTACCCATGGCACATTCACTCCTGTGCTCTTCCATGCTCTTCCCTGTCAGTCAGTGCTTTTGGGGAGAAAAGGAATGAGGCAGGCATCAGCAAATAAAAGATTAAGGGTAGTAGTCATGATGTACTGATGATTTGAAAGTGACTACTGACTTGCCAGTAGTAGTTGATATCATCTGATGCAGAACGGCTGCTGTGTGGCAGTAAATCCCATCCCTCTGCTTGGAAATGCTCTCTGAAGCTACCAGAATTTCGACTTACTCGTTAGAATCTATCACAATATCAAACATGAGAAAGCTAACCCTTTCTAGTCTCCACATGGGCAAGGGCTGCTATTAGAAAGAAGCTAGGTAGTAAAACTATTTCCTTTTTACTTTTGGGTGGAAGCAGGGGAGAGAAATTAGTCATAATGTAAAATGCCTTCATCTTAGTAGTCATGAGCACTATAACAGACATATGTTGCTTTTCACTTCTTTTCTGGAAAAGGACATCTGTCTGCATGTTTGAAATTGTGTCATTTGAATTGTGGCTTCTGGCAGGATTGGACTCACAATGAGCTGGTTCTTTTATCTAATGCCCTAGATCATAGACAGTTATGAACGGGGGTGAGGGGTGGGGAATTCAGCAGTTATTGTACCTGTGATATGGGAGTGGGGAGACTAGAACACAGCTTGTTTTTCCTTAATGCATGCTTTTCAGAAGAGCTGATGATGAGTTTGTCAGTGCTCTGTGGCATCAGTAATTGATCTCATGTTCTCTTCTTATTCTTCTAATGAATAGCTGTTCTCTCTTCAGTCCCTAGTATTAAACACTCCTGGCCTGTCTCACAAGTGTTTTTGAACGTGGTAATAAACTGCATTTATGTGGAATCCATCCCATCCCATTAAGTCCTTGAATTCCTGGAAGGGCAGCGGTGGTGGTGGTGCTCTTTGTTGGTGTAACACTTGAAGAAGGCTGTAGGATTCTGCAGCACACTGTCCAGAGGTGTCCAGGGATTGCCACTCAGCAGTGTACTGTATGTTATCTTGTAGCTTATGGATGCCGTGATGTTACAGCTATCAAGAGCCCGAAATCGGCTCACCACTCCAGCCACTCTGACTCTACCAGAGATTGCCTCCAGTGGTCTCACGGTAAGTATGTGGTGGTCTATCTCTCCATACAGTCTAGCAGCATGCAACAGTCAGGATATTATGCTACATCCTGGTGGAAGTGGATTTCTGAAGTGTCTCTGAAGCAGAAAGAGAGAGCTAAAGTAGGTGTAAATCCTGAGCATTTTTGGCTGCTCTCTATCTTTCTGTGGGAAAGCAGATAACTTGGCTGTGAGGACTCTGGTTCTCAGAGAGTAAGTTGTATTCTCTGCCCAGGAAGCTTGTCTAGGGATGATTTGCCCTTGTGAACACTGCTCCATCCTCTTGTCACCATCGTGCACACACCATTTGATCAAGTGCAGTAAGAGCAACAACCATTGCCTGTAAGCTGCTCAGTCTTTGTTTCTTTCCTAAGGTCCCTCACACTGTGGGGTAACTGTAGTATGGCTTAGGAAAAGGTGGTGATTTCCCAGCATTAGAAATAATATTCCTTTCACTGACAAATAAACTACTTATTTTCTCACCAGAAAATGTTCACCCCTGCTCTGCCTCCAGACATCCTTGTGAATTTCTATATTAACCTGAACAAGCTGTGCCTGACTGTCTACCAACTCCATGTGCTGCAGCCCAGCACAACCAAGGTGATACCTGCTGTCTCTTGAGCCTTGTTTATTTACCTTCTCCTACTTCCCACTTTGAGGAGGAGATTGCGCTGCTACATTGCGCAATGTTATATGCATAAGATAATGCAGAAATGACTGTAACTGGTGTTAAGTGTCTGTGTTTAGATTTGCTGCAGACAGAACCCTGGCTCTAAATCTTGTTTGGGGCGTGGTCACTTAGCCTGGAAGAAAATAGCAGTGTCCTGGAGAAAGCCAGTAGTTGGTTTTTGCCAAGTAATGCTTCATCTTGCAATATAGTTTGATAATTTTGGAAAGGCATAATTCTGATAATCTAGTTTATATTGAAGTAGCATCTTGGTTTTCTGAATGGAGTTCTGATGAATACTTCTCTGCTTCACATCTCGGATTTGGGTCAGCTTGATGTCCTGTAAAAACAGAATTAAACTCTTAAGCTTTATGAAATGCAGTCCTTCCATAAGGATTTTTTCCCTAAAATCTATCTTTTGATTTTCTTCTGGATCTTCTCATCTTATTTTTGTGGTGCTAAAATTTGGACCTAAATTGGACTCAGCCACTGTATAGAATTTTTTTCATGAAGGAGCAGGAAGAGATCAAATAACATGGATTCCATATGAATGGAGTATTCAGGCAGAGAGAGTATAGGCATTTCTTGATGTCAGGCTACTGAAAGTGCAAACAGTAAACATCCTCCTTCTAAGCGGTTTGTTTACTGTGTCAAAATCCTAATGACCTTTTCCTTCTCCTCTAGAACTTCAAGCCATCTGGAGGGTCCATTTTACACAACCCTGGGGCTATGTTGTAAGTATAGTCACAGCAAGGTCTCTGTAACAGTTGTAGGAGTACGCTGAGGAAGAAATCCAAATGGCTGTACTCAATTTTGACTATAGCATTGTCGTGGTTTTGACCGAATTGACCAACCAGAACGACAGATGGCCCCTCCCTCCCCCCCCCCAAGGAAAAGAGAGGAGGGGAACAGGGGAATTAAAAAATTATGAGTTTAGAAAAAGACTAAACTACTTTAATGAAAATATAAATAAATAATGAAATAAGGAGGAAAAAAAAAAGGAAAAGAAAAAAAGTAAAATAAAATAAAAATGTATACAGTATATACAAAACCATATCAAGCTCCCAGGATGACGATCACGTCACCAGCCAGCGCAGGGGAAAGTCCCAGGCTGGACTCGGTGATGTACAGGAGCTGGATTCCGGATCTGGAGTCAGGAATGCTCGGATCGGGATCAAAGGCAGAGGAACAGACAGGGTCCTCCTCGGACATTGGCCATTGAAAGAAGAGAGTTGACCCTTTGATCCCTCAGCTTTTGTACTGAGTGTGATGTGGATGGGATGACCCTGTTGGTCAGGTTTGGGTCACCTGTCCTGTCCGTTCCTCCCCACAGGTGGGACCCCTCTACGCTTTTCCGCTTCCAACCCTCCAACGGGGCAAACAACAAATTTACCTGACCTTGGTTGTTATAGCAATAAGTGTAAGCAAGGGCCTTTCTGCACACCATTCCTTGGTATAATCAGTCTTATCACTGTGAGAGTGAACAGTATGCTGTATTTCTGAACAATATGCTGTTAATTTCAGAGTTTAGTTAGAAGAGGCCTAGCTAAAAAAGTAAAATTACTGAACAGAAAATTAGTTCTGTTTTACCTCAAACCAGGACAAGCATCTATTAAGTGGAGAAGCTGGACTGAGTTGTGTGCTGTGGCTGTGCCTGTGTCTGTAAATGCACACGTGCCCGTAACCGTGCTTCTTTAATGACTCAGTCCTAAAGGCCCAAAGGTGTGGCTTTTCAAGATACAGCCCACCCATACAGTGCTGTGAGTTTGTCTAGAGATCAGAGCTGTCAACCAAATTGAACATCAAGTTATTGGCATTGCTGTCTGCATTTACTGCTTTTGTCCCTCTCTGGAAAGTGGTAAAGTTTCTACCTTATTAGATTTAGCTTAACTCTAAATCTGGTCAGAGGTAGACTGAGAGTTTGTATTCTATAACTTTGCCAGGTGCTTTTTTAAATGTAGTAGAAATCATAATGATCTCTTCTGTGAGAATGGAGGACAGTTGAGTTTTGTGTTCTGTGCAAAACTGTGCTCTTTTTTCCCCACTACAGTGAGTTTGGCAACCAGCGGTATGAAGTCAGCCATGTCCATAAAGTTGAATGTGTTGTCCCATGGTTAAATGATGCCCTTGTCTTCTTCACAGTTTCACTGCAGCTTTGCCAGCAACTGAAGGATAAGGTAATGGCCTTAGAGAAGGGGCCTTGTTTTCAACTCTGGATTTTGAAAGGACTTCAGATCTCCTAAAAATCTGATGTGATGTTATTCTGTACAACTTACATGTAAACTGAAAACAAACGATGAGTCAATGCTCTGGAGCCAGGGAGCTTGCTGTCACTGCCTGGCAGACAGCCATCTGGGATAAGTGTAGTAGTGCAGCAGATGTGTTTGCTGTACCTGGTGACTAGATGGAGAGGAGCAATTTTGTGTTCTGTCATGAGCTGGATGTGAGAAAATGCCATGGGGTTGTAGATGAGGCATGGAGACCTCAGCAAGCTAATTCCAGCAGACCAGTGTTAAGTTCCAGCACTGCAGCTGACCTAGCTGCCACCTTGAGCAAGTAACTTTGTGCTCCAAGCTTCTTCATTGACAATAGCAGCAAATGTGCCCTTCTGCAGTGCTGAAGCATGTAATGCTATAAAGCTCAATCTTCATGCATGCTTTATATGTTCCTTCTTCTGTGGCCCAAGGGATACAGGAACTTACCTGCTTTTCTTCTTGCTTTCCAGATATCTGTTTTCTCCAGTTACTGGAACTACAGGCCATATTAATTCTCTGTGGATTGTCCAAGCCTTTCCAGCTTCTCCCTGTTTGTTTTCAACATGCCAGCAGAGTCCAGGTCAGCCTGAGGAGTGCTGTGGTTCACTACCATGTGGCCCTCCATAGGGTAGGGTCAGTGTATCCAGAGACACAACTTTATTAGCCTTGTCTGGGACTGCTGCGTAAGCAGGGCATCAAGCAATGCCGTGTGGTTGGCGAGAGCTTCCACCTGTCCTTGTTTGCATGTGCATTCTGTGGGTTACACTTTCCAAGCCTCTGGTGAATTACACTAGTCCATTACAGGGGATGGGGAGCTGTGGACCGCTCTCACTAACCGTATTTGCACACAGTGTTGTAACTGACTGCTGGACTGTGAGCTGGCTTGGAAGGGATGAAGACAGACTAATATAATACACCACAAAAACTGTAGGGCATGTTGCTCCATGTAGTGAAATATGTTGTTGTGATCTGGTCCAGCTGTGGTTATGACTAACCCTGAACTTCTCCCTCTCCTATCTGTTCTGTCCATGCTCATGTCACTGATTCCCCTTTGGAGATATTCTCACTTCCTGCTGTTTGAACTCCTTTTTTTTTTTTTTTTTTTTCCAAATATTTCAGTTATTCTCAAAGACCCTATGCAGAATTAAAGCCTTACTGTTCTGCAAACCACACAAATATAAGGTGGCAGCCTCTCTTTTTTTTTCCCTTTTTTTTTTTTTTTTTTTTTTTTTCCCTGGCATTAATGTGATAATATATATTTTTTTTTTCCTAAGCCCTAGTTGGGCCAATTGTTTATTTCCAGGTTTAGTATTTTGTTTTCGCTGCCAGCCTTTGAAGCTGCCTCGGTACCTTGAGCACAGCTGTGCAGTCTCACATCCTGTCTTTAAACTCAAAGTGAGTACCACTTGTAACTATGATTTTCTGCCTGCACATGGATGCTACAGTATGTAACTTGTCCCTCTAGCTATTGATAACTGAAATAAAGATCCTTAGGCCTGCCATGCTCCTGTGGACTGTCAGTGCTGAGAATAAAAGAGTATCAAAATTATGTGCTCTCTTCAAAGCAAGTGACTGTTCTTAGTTATGCATGCTGGATTACCGATTGCCTTACTGGGAGGTGGAGGACAGTAGTGGTCTCTGAGGGTGGAGTTGGGCAGTGCTTCGAAGGTTGGACCTGGTTTGCGTAGCCTCAGCCTAGTGCTGTCTGACACCTGAATACTACCTGAAGTCCTTCTCCAAAGTTTGCTTGATGGTTGTGTTTGGAAGAGGCTGTAGGTTCTGAAACTGGGCTGGGTTGGCTCATGGAGCTGGTTGTTAAGTGATGAGGAAGCATCACCTGTCTCCTGCTTGACTCCAGCTAGCCATGTGCAGGCTCTGTTTCTGGTGGCTTTCCTTACCCAGGTGGAATACCTTACCCAGGAGCCTTCATGTGTGCTGACGTGAAGACTGCAGGCTTACGGAGGTCCCTACAAAACATCAGGACTATTGAGCCTACCTTGACAGTGTAGTTGAAAAACAGCAGAATCCTGGTGTGTTCCAGGTGCTATCCAGAGCAGTGTGCTCAAAAGGAAGAGATCACAGAATTACAGAACAGGTGAGGTTGGACGGAGACTTCTGTGGTCTGTCTGGTCTCATTCTCCTACTCAAGCAGGGCCACCCAGGACCGTGTCCAGATGGCATTTGAATAGCTCCAAGAAGGGAGACTAGGGATAGGTTTGTTGCTTTGATTTTTTTTGTTTGCTGCATAGATCTCTGCTCTGGGCATGTGTGGCCTACCGTGTCTGCCACCTCCCTTTCTGTCCCTGTGTGGACATCCTTGGGATCCTGAGTGGGTTGGTGCCAGCCAGCCTTGTTACTGCTGCAGCATCCTTCTCTGACCACTTGACACTTGGTGCCGTGCTTGGTAATGTTGCACATGCTAATATCACAGGTTGCAGGCAGTAACAGAACCTACAGTTGAGTATCAGGCTGTGACTGATAAATGTGTTTTTTAGCAGGTAGCGAAAGGTGGAAGGTAGGCCCGGATGGGCTGATGCAATAGCAGAGCCATTACTGATTCCAGTCAATTAGGCTTATAATTAGTTGTGGTAATGACCCTGGGTATGCATTTACCAACCCTTGCTCTGTTCCAGACCATTTTCTGCTTAGAAAGTGATTGTGCGTGTGTGGAACTGCTCACCATTAACAGCTTCTCGGGTGAGAGTATTTTTGTAGTTAATAACCTCTCTGGAGTGGTCTGTGCTCTTCTTTAACCCTCCCTGTGTGTGGAGGAGGCTCCTTTTAATTCACACCAGTGTGTACAGCCCAATGTTCCCACATCCTCTCCAACTCAGTTTCCTGCTGATATGGATATAACATGCAACCCAGTGTGTGTTGTTTTCTTCTGATGAAAACAGTAATCTTCAGTTCTGGAGGGCAGGAGTGTGCAAAATGGAATACCTGTCTGATTCCAGCTCTTGACGCACAGTGGCTGTGTCATGAGGACCGCAAGGTGCCAGTGGTAGCTGCTACAGGACAACGCCTATGGTACTGTTACAGAAGAACAGGGTAATGGCAAGCTGGGTGGGATTCAACAGGAGACAGGAGCAGAATAAAATAATCTGACTGACTGCCTTTTCCTTCTCTGGGTTATTATTCTCTCTTTTTTTTAAGCTACCTTTGGGGAAGCTATAGTTCTCATGAGCAAAACCTTTCCTGGTGGCACCTTTCTTTTTCCCTTTTGTCTAGGGAATCTCTGCTTAGGCTTTAGGGGAGGTCTGCTGCTTAAATCCACTGGCTGCCTGCTTTTGATGGGTCTAGCAGTTGAGTTGCTACTGACTTGGTTCTGCTGGTTCTGGAACCACAGATGACACTGATCCATGGGCCTCTACTACTGAACTTCTACATATCCTTCAAAAAGGAATTAGAGTTGCCTGAACTAAGATGGAGAAGACACTTCCTGGGCAGCTTTCAGCGACAGCACTGTAGCAGGGTAAAGAGAGCAGAACCACAGACCAAGAGAGCAATGAATAAAGTCTTTTTTATGGCTGCCTGTAGTCTACCTCAGTCTGAGCAGCTATTTCTGTGTCGTCCACAGACAGACACCAAGCAGAAATCCATGCTACTCTTCCCAGCATCTCAGCACTTAGCAGACAAGAACATCTCCTTGCTGAGCTCAGTTAAGGTTAACTGTTTGTAAAGATATAATTATTTTCTGGAAATGGAGTTGAAAGTACAGGTATTTGTGTGTGCTGATGCCAGTCTGCTCAAGTATTGCCGCTGCCAGGACTTGCTTGGAATTGCACCTGACATCCCTGGCCTTGTCCTGCCTTCTGTAGGGTTCGGTAGAGGCCTATAGGGTTCTGTAGGTTTCCCTAGGGGGCCGGTATTGTTCCCTAGCGGCCTGTAGAGGCCCCTCTGGATTCTGTAGGGGTCTGTAACTGTCCATAGGCATCCGGTATGTGTCTGTGGGGGCCTGTAAGATTCCATAAATTTCCACAGGGGTCTGTAGATGTCCCTAGTGTTCCCATATGTGCCCGTAGGGTTCCGTAGGTGTCTGTAGGTGCTTGTAGGTTCTCATAGCAGGGGCCTGTAGTATTCCCTAGGGGCCTGTAGTATTCCCTAGGGGCCTGTAGAGGTCTGTAGGGATTGTAGGGTTTTGTAGGGATCCATGGGTGCCTGCAGGTGCTCGTAAGTGACTTTAGTATTCCCTAAGGGCTCATAGAGTCCTGTAGAGTTCTGTAGGAGTCTGTAGGGTTACGTAGGGTTCCACAGGGGTCCACAGGATTTGGTATGGTTCCATAGGGTTCAGTAGGTGCCTGTAGATGGCTGTAGGGGCCCATAGGGTTCTGTAGATTTCCAGAGAAGACTGTAGGGTTTCATAGATGCCTGTAGGTGCTTGTAGGTTTTCGTAGGAGTCTGTAGGGGTTTGTAGAGGCCCATAGTGTTCCTTAGTGGCCTGTAAAGGCCTGTAGAGGTCTGTAGGGTTCTGCACTTGCTTGTGTTCCAAAGAGTTCCGTGGGGGCCTGAAGGTTTCTGTAGAGTACCATAGGGTTCTGTAGGCTTCCATAAGTGCCCACAGGTGTCTGTAGGGGCCTTTAAGGGCCCGTAGGCGCCCATAGGGGTTGGTAGTGTTCCATAGGTTTAGGTGGGTGCCCGTAGGGCTCTTTAGGGTTACGTAAGTTCCTGAAGGGGGGGTGTAGTGTTCTGTATGTGCCCACAGGGTTGGTGGTGGGACCTCAGGGTGAGTGGTGGGTACCCATGGGTGGGTGGTGGATGCTCAGGATGGGTGGTGGGTGCCCATGGAAGGGTGGTGGGATCTCAGGGTGGGTGCCCATGGGTGGGTGGTGGGACCTCAGTATGGGTGGTGGGTGCCCATATAGGTGGGTGCTGGGAGCTCAATATGGGTGGTGGGTGCTCAGGGTGGGGGTGGGTGCCCATGGGTGGGGTGGTGGGTGCTGGGCACCTGTGGACCCAACTGGAATGGTCCCACCATGGTGGGCACCCACGGACCCAACTGGGATGGTCCCAACTGGGATACTCCCAACATGGATGGTCCCACTGTGTCCCTAATGTACCCCCTTCCCCCTGCCCAGGTCGCCTCTGAGGCGTCTCGCGCGGGGCCCAGGTGCAGAGGGCGTGCGGGCAGGGGCCGTGGCCCCACGGCCGAGGCGGGGCAGGCGGGGGGAAGGCGGCCTGTGCGGGTGGCCGCACAGCCTGGGCTTCTCCCGCGCAGGTCAGGCCCCTTCTGCTGGGCCACCAGCAGGGAAGCCCAAAGCTTCTGCCCTGAGGCAGCAACCTGGACTTCTCCCGAATGGTGGGGGATCCTCCTCAGGAGGAGCTCTGATTTCATCCTGCAGCCGGACCCCCATTGCCCGTGTCCCCAGAGCAAAGCTCAACGTTGATCGACCAAAGGGTGGTGGCAGGGAGGTGGCCGAGACATCACGGAAGGTGCTTGACTTGAAGAGGGACTGAAACCAAACAAGGTGTCTCATGAGTTCTGCTGCAGCTGCTGACTGAGACAGGAGACGGCAAACACTACAAGTTCTGCCCCACAGCGGAGCCCAGAGCGTGTCCCAGATGAACCTGGGGGAGTTATAACGCAAAAATACACCCCCTGCCCCTCGCTCACAAATAGAATGTAAAGAGGACAAAGTCTTCAAAGCAAAGATAAAGATTTATTCAAACAAATTGAACGAGTGAGCTGAACCGGGTCCAGTCGCAGAACTTCAGGTACTTGGGACTATTAGGACTATGACAGGGTTACACTGTCTGCACTAATCACACAGGGACACGGCGCCTGGAAATCCTCTTTGGATTAACGCTTTACAATTAGAATCCCTTACCTTTTACATACATTAATCTTTGTACTACTACTTGTTGCTCACACACAATCCTAGACTCCTCGCTTCACACTTTTACAACAAGTGTCAACACCGACTACAAATGTCTTTCCAAATGACGTGTTATCATTTCAAGGTTCTGCCACGCTGGAGGAAATTGCTTCGCACACACAGCTTGACATTCCTTCTTTAATTCTTCTCCTAAAGGGAGTATATCTAGTCCTCCTCTAGCCTCTGGTATCACTATGAAGGCTATGACTTCTTTGTTATTCCCCTGGATCATT